TGGGGGGATTTTGGGGAGGATTTTCCTCAAATTTCCCCCCCAAAATTTGGGAATTCCCGAGAAAAATTTGGGATTTGAACATTCCAGGGTCCCCAAGGAGAGCCGGGACCCCCCGGACACCAAGGGAGCCCCGGGACTCAGGTCAGACCCAAAATTCCCATTTTTCACCCCAAAATTCCCACTTTTCACCCCAAAATTCCCATTTTTCACCCCAAAATTCCCATTTTTCACCCCAAAATTCCCATTTTTCACCCCCAAATTCCCACTTTTCACCCCAAAATTCCCATTTTTCTCCCCAAAATTCCCATTTTTCCCCACAAAATTCCCATTTTTCCCCCCAAATCTGATTTTTTCCCCAAAATTCCCATTTTTCCTCCCAAAATTCCCATTTTTCACCCCAAAATTACCATTTTTCACCCCAAAATTCCCACTTTTCACTCCAAAATTCCCATTTTTCCCCCCAAAATTCACTTTTTCGCACCCAAAATTCCCATTTTCAAACCCAGAATTCCCCAAAAATTCCCTTTATTCAACCCAAAATTCCCATTTTTCACCAAAAATTCCCATTTTTCCCACCAAAATTCCCATTTTTTCCCAAAAATTCTCTTTTTTCCTCCCTAAAACCCCATTTTTCCCCCCAACATTCCCAATTTTCCCCCCAAAATTCTCTTTTTTCAACACAAAATTCCCATTTTCCCCCCCAAATTTCCATTTTTCACCCCAAAAATTCCCGTTTTTACCCAAATTTTCCCCTTTTCCCCCACAAAAATCACATTTTATCCCCCAAAATTCCCAATTTTCCCCCCAAAATTCCCATTTTTTCCCAAAACTCCGATTTTTCCCATAAAAATTCCCATTTTTCCCCCAAAATTCCCATTTTTCCACCCAAAATTCCCATTTTTCCCCCAAAATTCCCATTTTTCCACCCAAAATTCCCATTTTCTCCCCAAAATTCCCATTTTTCTCCCCAAAATCCCCATTTTTCCCGTTTTTCCCCATTTTTGGGTTGGATTTTGGCTTTTCAGGGACTCCCCGGACCCCAAGGAGCGGCCGGACCCCGAGGAGAGAAGGTTTGGGGGGAAAAACGGGAATTTGGGGAAAAAAATGGGAATTTTGGGAAAAAATTGGGAATTTGGGGAAAAAATTGGGAATTTGGGGGAAAAAAACCGGGAATTTGGGGAAAAAATTGGCAATTTGGGTGAAAAAATTGGGAATTTGGGGGATTTTGGGGAAAAAAATGGGAATTTTGGGGAAAAAAAATGGGAATTTGGGGGAAAAATTGGGAATTTGGGGAAAAAAAAAGGGATTTTGGGGGGATTTGGGGCAAAAATGAGGATTTTTGGGAAAAAATGGGGATTCTGGGGGGAAAAATTGGGAATTTGGGGGAATTTTGGGGAAAAAAATGGGAATTTGGGGGAAAAAATTGGGAATTTTGGGAAAAAAGGAATTTGGGGGAAAAATAATGGGAATTTTGGGGAAAAAATGGGAATTTTGGGGAAAAATTGGGAATTTGGGGGAAAATTGGAATTTTGGGGGGATTTTGGGCTGATCTTGGCTGATTTTGGGGTAATTTTGGGGGTCCTGGGGTGATTTTGGGGGTCCAGATGCAATTTTGGGTGATTTTGGGGTGATTTTGGGCGATTTTGGGCTGATTTTGGGCTGATTTGGGTGCCCTGAGGTGATTTTGGGCTGATTTTGGGCTGATTTTGGGTGGCTTTGGGGTAATTTGGGTGCCCCGAGGTGATCTTGGGCTGATTTTGGGTTAATTTTGGGGGTCCTGGGGTGATTTTGGGGGTCCAGATGCAATTTTGGGGTGATTTTGGGGTAATTTGGGGTCATTTTGGGTGATTTTGGGTTGATTTTGGGTGTCCTGGGGTGATTTTGGGGTTCCAGGTGCAATTCTGGGGTGATTTTGGGTGATTTTGGGCTGATTTTGGGCTGATTTGGGTGCCCTGAGGTGATTTTGGGCTGATTTGGGTGCCCTGAGGTGATTTTGGGCTGATTTTGGGGTAATTTTGGGGTAATTTTGGGTGTCCTTGGGTGATTTTGGGGGTCCAGATGCAATTTTGGGCTGATTTTGGGGTAATTTTGGGTGTCCTGGGGTGATTTTGGGGTTCCAGGTGCAATTTTGGGCTGATTTTGGGTGATTTTGGGCTGATTTTGGGCTGATTTGGGTGCCCTGAGGTGATTTTGGGCTGATTTGGGTGCCCTGAGGTGATTTTGGGTGATTTTGGGGTAATTTTGGGTGTCCTGGGGTGATTTTGGGGTTCCAGGTGCAATTTTGGGGTGATTTTGGGGTAATTTTGGGTGATTTTGGGCTGATTTTGGGTGGCTTTGGGGTAATTTGGGTGCCCCGAGGTGATCTTGGGCTGATTTTGGGTTAATTTTGGGGGTCCTGGGGTGATTTTGGGGGTTCTGCTGCAATTTTGGGCTGATTTTGGGGTAATTTTGGGTGTCCTGGGGTGATTTTGGGGGTCCTGCTGTAATTTTGGGCTGATTTTGGGTGGCTTTGGGGTAATTTTGAGGGGATTTTGGAGGTCCTGGTGTAATTTTGGGTTGATTTTGGGGGGTCCTGGGGTGATTTTGGGGTAATTTGGGGTCATTTTGGGTGATTTTGGGTTGATTTTGGGTGTCCTGGGGTGATTTTGGGGTTCCAGGTGCAATTCTGGGCTGATTTTGGGGTAATTTTGGGGGTCCTGGGGTGATTTTGGGGGTCCTGCTGTAATTTTGGGCTGATTCTGGGTGGCTTTGGGGTAATTTTGGGGTTTGGGGTGACCCCAAATTTCCCCTCAGGGCCCCCAGGGGAAGCCGGGGCTGCCAGGAATGCCGGGATTGGACGGAGACCCCGTGAGTTCCCCCCCAAAAAAACCCCAAAATCCCCCCAAATTCCACCCCAAAAACCCCAGATTTGGGTTCTGGGGTGGGGTGACCCCAAATTTTTGGGGTCTCCCCACCCCAATTTTTTGGGTGCCCTTCCCCCACTCCAGGGTCACCCGGGCAAGGAGGGACCCCCCGGCGGCAAGGGAGGCCAGGTGACCCCAAAAACCCCAAAATTCCCCCCAAAATTCCACCCCAAATTCCCCAAATCCTGAAAATTCCATCCCAAAATCCCAAATTCTCCCCAAATCCTTAAAATCCCATCCCAAAAACCCCGAATTTCCCCCAAATCCTCCCAAAATTCCACCCCAAATCCTCCCAAATCCTGAAAATTCCATCCCCAAAACCCCCAAATTTCTCCTAAATTCTGAAAATTTCACCCCAAATTCCCCAAAATCCTGAAAATTCCATCCCAAAATCCCAAATCTCCCAAAATCCTGAAAATTCCATCCCAAAACCCCAAAATCCTGGAAATTCCATCCCAAAATCCCCAAATCCCCCCAAATCCTCCCAAAATTCCACCCCAAATCCTCCAAATCCCAAAAATTCCGCCCCCAAACCCCCAAATTTCTCCCAAATTCTGAAAATTCCATCCCAAAACCCCAAAATCCTGAAAATTCCATCCAAAAATCCCCAAAATGCTGAAAATTCCATCCCCAAACCCCCAAATTTCTCCTAAATCCTGAAAATTCCACCCCAAATTCCCCAAAATCCTGAAAATTCCATCCCAAAACCCCCAAAATCCTTAAAATTCCATCCCAAAATTCCCCAAATCCTGGAAATTCCATCCCAAAATTCCCAAATTTCTCCCAAATTCTGAAAATTCCACCCCAAATTCCCCAAAATTCTGAAAATTCCATCCCAAAATTCCCAAATCCTCCCCAAATCCTCCAAAATTCCCCAAAAATTCCCCCCAAATTCCCCAAAAATCCCCCAAAATTCCAAAAAAATTCCCCGCAAATTCCCAAAAAATCTCCCTAAATCTCCCCAAAAATTCCCAAATCCCCAAAAATTCCCCAAAAATTCCCAGAAAATCCCCAAAATTCCCAAAAATCCCCCTGAAATCCCCCCAAATCCCAAAAAATTCCCCCAAATCCCAAAAATTTCCCCTAAAATCCCCCCAAATATCCCAGAAAATCCCCAAAAATCCCAAAATTCCCAAAAATTCCCCAAAATTCCCCAAAAAAACCCCCAAAATAAAAAAAAAATTCCCAAAAAATCCCAAAAATTCCCTAAAATCTCCCCCCAAAATCCCAAAAATTTCCCCTAAAATCCCCCCAAATCCCCAAAAATTCCCCAAAATTCCCCAAAATTCCCCAAAATTCCCCAAAATTTCCCAAAATTCCCCCAAAAACCCCCCAAAATCCAAAAAAAATTCCCAAAAATTCCCCAAAATTCCAAAAAATTCTCAAAAAACCCCCCCAAAAATCCAAAAAAAATTCCCCAAAAATCCCCAAAATCCCCAAAAATCCCCCCAAAAATTCCCCAAAAATCCCAAAATCCCAAAATCCCCCCCAAACCCCAGGAAAATTCCCAAACTTTGGGATTCCATCCCAAAATCCCGAATTTCCGCAGGGTCCCGCCGGTCCCCAGGGCCCCCAGGGCTACCCCGGCCCCCGCGGCCTCAAGGTGAGATTTTCCCAAATTTTCCCAAATTTTCCCAAATTTTCCCTTCAATTTTCCCAAATTTTCCCAAATTTTCCCAAATTTTCCCAAATTTTCCCTTGAATTTTCCCAAATTTTCCCCAAATTCCTCATTTTTTCCCTGATTTTTCGCTGATTTTCCCCTTTTTTCCCAGATTTCTCCTCATTTTCCTTCATTTTCCCAGATTTTTCCCTCATTTTTCTCAATTTTTTCCCAATTTTCCCCATTTTCCCCAGATTTCTCCTCAATTTTCCCAAATTTCCCCAAATTTTCCCCAAATTCCTCATTTTTTCCCTGATTTTTTCCTGATTTTCCCCATTTTTCCCCATTTTCCCTCATTTTTCCCTCATTTTTCCCTCATTTTTCCCATTTTCTCCCAATTTTCCCCAAATTTTTCCCAATTTCCCCTCAATTTTCCCAAATTTTCCCAAATTTTCCCAAATTTTTCCCAAAATTTCCTCTGAATTTTCCCAAATTTTCCCCAATTTCCTCATTTTTTCCCAGATTTTTTCCTGATTTTCCCCATTTTTCCCAGATTTTCCCTCATTTTCCTTCATTTTCCATCATTTTCCCTCATTTTTCCCATTTTCTCCCAATTTTCCCCCAATTTTTCCCAATTTCCCCTCAATTTTTCCTGATTTTCCCAAAATTTTCCCAAATTTCCTCCCATTTTTTCCCAATTTCTCCCCCATTTTCCCCAATTTTTCCCCAATTTTTCCCCCATTTTTCCCCATTTTTTCCCCAATTTTTTCCCAATTTTTTCCCCCATTTTCCCCATTTTTTCCCAGTTTTTTCCAATTTTTCCCCATTTTCCCCAATTTCTTCCCCATTTTCCCCCATTTTTCCCCAATTTTCCCACATTTTTCCCCATTTTTCCCATTTTCCCCAATTTCTTCCCCCATTTCCCATTTTTCCCAATTTTCCCCCATTTTTCCCCAATTTTCCCTCATTTTTCCCCATTTTTCCCAATTTTTCCCAATTTTTCCCCATTTTCCCCCATTTTTCCCAATTTTTTCCCATTTTCCCCCAATTTTTACTCATTTTCCCCAATTTCTTCCCCATTTTTTCCCCATTTTTCCCCATTTTTCCCCATTTTCCCCCATTTTTCCCCATTTTTCCCAATTTTTCCCGTTTTTTCCCCATTTTTCCAGGGAACCGACGGCATCCGGGGGCTGAAGGGTCACAAGGGGGAGCAGGT